CATCCTTTGCAATGAAGGACCTTGGCCCTAGAAAGCAAATCCTCAGAATTAACATTATTACAAACCGACAAAGAAAGCTCGTATGGTTATCCCAAGAAAAATACATTGAGAAGATCTTGAAGAGATTCAGTGTGGACCAAGCCAAGACAATGAGCACTTCCCTACTCGAACACATAAAACTAAGCCGGAAGCAATATCCGAGATCAGATGATGAAAGAGATGAGATGCTGAAGATCTCATACTAGTTTGCGGTCAAAAGTTTGATGTATACAATGGTACCCGACCTGGCATATGCTGTTGGAATGGAGAGCTGGTGTTTGTCTAATTCTGGCCAGGAACACTAGAAATCTGTCAAGTGTATTTTCAAATATCTCAAAGGAACAATAAGCTTATGCCTCCACTTTGGAGATGGTAAAGCCGAGCTGGAAGGCTGTACAAGTGCTGATTTAGGAGGAGATACCGACTCAAGTAAGTTAGGATCGAATATCTAATGACTTTTGCATGAGAAGTTGTCTCTTGGCTATGAAAATTGCATAAATATGTTCCAAGGACTAAGGTTGAGTATATAGTGGCGACTGAAGCCTGTAAAGAGATGATGCGGATTAAAAAATTTCTCATTGAACTCGGCCATGAACAAGAAAAATATGAGCTAAAGTGTGATAACCAAAGTGTCATTCATCTGGCGAAGAACTCAACTTGAACTTGCCAAGGTTCATACTAATCAAAACTGGAAAAATATGATGATGAAGTCGGTCAGTGCAAGAAAATTTGAAGATTGTTGTGAAGGTGTCGAGCTTACCGATCGGAACTGACCCAACGCATTAAAGTCGGAAGTGGGAGATTTGTTGGGGTGTGTTCCCCTATTTAATTCTTGGAGGCTTGGCATACACCGTATTTATGGGTGCAAGTCTCGTTGTCTAACAACCACTTTAATAAATACCCAACCATCTTATCATTGATGAAAACTCTAAAAGGTGTCGGGTCTCCTCCTCACCTTATATAAGCATAAGAAACCATTTTGTAAGGAGTTAGTCGATTGTGAAGTGAGATTCCTCTGAAGAGAAGTTTGAGGGCAAGACCTCTTTAAGAAGAACTTTGCAACCACCATTGTTGGTGAAGCTTAAATGTTTTCCACCATTGTTGGTGAAGCTTGAATGTACCACCATTATTGATGAAGTTTGAGTGTACCTCTAGTATGACTTGGAAAGTTTGACCTCTTTGTAATCCTACTATTTTATAGTAGAAGATTTTTTTTATTAATGTCTTGTTGTTTTTACTCCTCTGCCTAAGGGGAGATTTCCTACGTTAAAATTTGTTATATCTTCTTCTCCATTTCTCTTTACTGCATTTCTCTATTTTTTTTCCCGTGTGTTGGCCTGCCTAGTGACTTCTGATAGTCTGTTGTGATACCGATCGGTAAGTTAAATAATATCGACGGCAAAATTATTTTCGCAAGAACGATTTGAGGGACCAAATGCTTGAATTGTCAAAGCCTATAATATCAGAGCCTAACAACTTTCTCTTAAAAACTTGAACTTTTGCATTGAAATGATTTTTTGCATGATATCAGAGCCTATGTGACCAAATGTTCACGAATTTGATCCTCGTCATCTCATTCTATTAATAAATAATATCTTGTTGCTTGCTGAGTAGATGTTAATTTCACAATTCAACCCAAATTTTGATAGTTAAAACAACATAGGATATAGTAAAGTAGTAATTGATAAAAATAAGAAACAATATATGTAATTCTACACTCCGATTTGATACTCTTGCAAATAGCATAACAATTCGCCTAGGCATTAAGCTAAGTACAAGAGTTACACATTGCCTCAAATGATAAATACCCCTTAAATACCACCAATTAAACGGATTCTAATCATTAGCACCAAACATCTTTTAAATTTATGGGGTGTATTGGATTGAGATTTCAAAGGATTTTAATGAATTGTTTTTGGACAAAAAAATCCGTTGGTATTCGATTATGATTTTAATGGATTGAAAAAAAGTCATGTGGTATTCGATTAGGATTTTAAAGGATTATTTTAGAATCCGTCCAAATCCGTTGGTATTCAATCAGGATTTTAAACAATGGAATCACAATCTCGTGGTATTCAAAAATCCGACGATTTTAATGGATTTTCTATTGGATTTTGTGAGACTTTTTAGTGAAAAATATAAATAGGATGTCTCTCTCACAATCTCACCCCAACCCCTAGGATTTCTTGAGATTCTTCTATTGCAGTGTTTTCTTCTTCCTTTGGCAGGTTGATGGCTCGAAATTGGGTTCCGCTATGGGAGCATCGTCAAAACTAAAAAAAAAAAAGCATATTTTCGAGCAATTTTAATCACAAAACAATCCAGAAACAACAAACCAACGAGATTTTAATATAATCTATCTCAAAAATAACATATTTTTTAGCCATTTTTTAGAAATTTTGGAAGTTTAAAAAGTGATTTTTCAAGCTATGGATCACAATTTTTTTTTGCACAAAAATGTGTGATTTTTGTATTAAAAACAACATAAAACAGTGAAAAAATAACAGGGAAACTAAAACCCTCAAACCAATTTTCGTTTTACATCAATGAAACAATATTAATTTAAAAAAAGATTGAAATTTTCATAATATGAACCCTGTATTTTGTAGCAATACATTCATGAACGAAATTCCTTCATTATAGGAAATGATTTCAAACAATTTTTGTGTCAATAGATAACTAAAAGCTTGTTTCTCAAAAGCCCCAAAGCAATTTAAGGTTTCAATGTATCGATTGAAAAAAATTTGAGAAATTTTCTAAACTTTCATGTAATTAAACCCAAAATTTCAGATTTATATGGTTAGAAAATTCCAAAAACCCCAAGGTTTTCAAGATCAATTGCAAAAAAGTACAAACAAAATTTTATCATAAACTTTAAGTTCTATATGCAAATTTAAAATTATTTTTATAATTAAAAAAAATTGGGTCTTATAATCATATATGCATAACTTTGATACCAAATGAAGAAGATAATTTTTAACCCATTAGATATGTGAAAAGCTGTTATTTAATAATTTTGAATGTTTGTTAAAAATTATATTGTGTTTTACTCATTGAGAAAATTATATTAGGTTTTACTTTTTTTTATTAATTTCATTGCATTTCTTTGTTATTTTTTATGGGAAAGATTATAATTACAACCTATTTTTGTTTACAGCCTTTTACAACCATATCTCAGCCGTTAATTTTCGTCAATCAATGGTTATTATTTTTGCAAATCAAACTCATTAATTAATATTTAATTTGCAATGAATGATAACTGTTGATTGACGGAAATCAATGGTTAAGATATGGTTGTAAAATGTTATAAACAAAAATATGTTGTAAGTATAACCTTCCCTTTTGTATTGACTCTTGTAATTTTGAATGTTTGTTAAAAATTCATATGATTTTTTAAAATCTTATAAATCCATATTGTCCTTTCAAATCTTATAAATTCTATTAAAATCCTTTAAAATCCAATCTTATGAAATCTTGATTGTAAAAAAAGTCTTTTAGAAAAGTCTTTAAAGTCTCTCCAATTCTATAATGTCTTTTAAAATCTGTAGAATTTTTTATCTCGAAAAAGTCTTTTAAAATCCTAATTCAATACACCTTGAACCCCAAACAAATACATTAATTATAGTTAGTTAATTATTAATTATAGTAATTAATTAATAATTAATAATTAATAATATATCATTTATTTGTTGACCCGTTGCATTTTATTTAATCCAAAATAAAAATTATTGAATATATTAGTTTAATACTCGATTAACTACTAGAAAAATTCTTCATATGTTGTAATTCTGGGTCATTGTTTAATCTAATCCACATAATATAGCGAGAGAGAGAGAGATTTTTAGAGCCCGTTTGGATGGACTTTTTTTTTATAAAAAAAAAAGCACTTCTCGAAAAAAAGTCTATTTGAATGTCTGCTTTTAAAAAAAACAGAAGTCAAAAAAAAAGTCAAAAATTTACTTTTTTCAAAAGCTAAAAATTTTAGCTTTTAAAAAAAGCAGAAGTCAAAAGTCAAATATTTTTGTCAAAAAATAAATATTTTTTTAAAAATCTAAATAGCTGTAACTTTTATAAAAAGTACTTTTAAAATAAGGAAGTGATAAAAAAAACTTTTTTCATAAGTCAATACAAACGACCTCTTAGTCTACTTGAAAAGGTAGTTTATGATTTATACCTACACTTCCTCTTATATTCCATTTTAGCCACTATGATTTATACCATCTTCTGATTAGCCTTCCTAATTAAATAATCACACACCTCACAACTATGAATTGGTTTATTTTATTTTATTTTTGGTAAAAATGAATTGGTTTATTTTATTTCCCAGTATAATGACGAAAAAATTCTTTCCGAGTTTAAACCGTTATGAGGTCCAAAGTGTGTTGCTGAGGTCCAAGAATAATTTTCGAAGTCATGTCAATTTGGTATTGAGATCTAATGGTAATAATCTTCCCATAGATACAGAGCAGCGTCCAAGAAAATTTGGATAATGAAGCAACAGTTACAAATTTCAGATAGCATGTTAGCAGCAACATCAGAAGACAAAACTACATATAGATTTATCCACGTGAAACTTGATCTGAGCTTGGATCAAGTCTTCAATATCAACGAAGTGTTCATTAGAACTATGTTTTTCTTTCCTTTGAGTTTTCTCTATGTTTTTGTGGTTCATCTTGGCATTGGTCATAAGTCTATAGAATTAAGTATATTTACTTTTTAACCCTGCAAAAAAAAAAAGTATATTTACTTTTTTGTTTTACTCAAATGAAGGAACAACAAAGTCAATGAAATTAAACCTTTTAAGTTGTTTTTCTTTTAATTTTAATGTATGTTCATTGCTTGCTGAGTAGATTTTAATTTCACAATTCAACCCAAATTTTGATAGTTAAAACAACATAGGATATAGTAAAGTAGTAATTGATAACAATAAGAAACAATATCTGTAATTCTACACTGCGATTTGATACTCTTGCGAATAGCATAACAATTGGCCTAGGCATTAAGCTAAGTACGAGGTAATTATCATCATTATGCTTTCACATTCCAAGAACTTAGTAACTACTACTCCTACCTACAGTTCCAAGCAGGCTTTTGCTAAGCGAAATCCTAAATTCCAAATATCTTAGAAAATTAAATATGGGATATTCAGGTGTAACACACATGGAAATTCAAGATCCTCGTATGTTTGAAACACAGGGATCTTGAATTTCCATGTGTCATAAACTCGAATATCTCATATTTGAGTTTTCAAGATGCTTGTAATTTATGATTCCTCATACTAGAAACCTCATTGTAACTTGAGGTAAAATTAAAAAGACTGCTTAATCTTGAAGAAAGGTTTCTCTGAAACAGGTATGAACTTTACTAACCAAGCAATTGGCCATGACACAGATGCAGTTACAATACAAATTCCCCATTGGTTCCATGTTAACCTTTCCGTATCAGCAAACTTCCTTAGGAATTCCACCATCATGACTTGAAGAACAATAGTAAATCCCACAATTCCAAGAAACAAGTGGCTTTCGTGAATGCCTTCGAATACATTATGTTTCTCCATACTTCTCGAGTTGAACTCGTTGAAAACTTGGCAGAGAACAAAAGTATTAAAGATTAGAGTATTCTTTACCTCCTCAGTTACATGGAAGATTGACTTTCCATGGAATTGTAAAACCAACAAGATAGCAATCTGATATAAAGCTTGAGCTAAAAGGTTTCTCCACATAATGTTGGTAATAAGTGGCTCAGTTCTACCTACTGGCCTTTTCTGCATTAACTCCTTTGTAGGCCGTTCTGTAGCCAGTGCCAAAGCTCCTAGAGTATCCATAATGAGATTCACCCATAGTAGTTGAACTGTTGTTAGGGGAACATTTCCAGAAGAAACTGCAGCTATAAAATTTATCACAAGAGCTGCAACATTAACGGTAAGTTGAAACTGGATAAATTTTTGGATGTTGTTATAAACACATCTTCCCCACTTTAAAACAGTAACAACTGAATTGAAGTTATCATCTAGGATAACAATGTCAGAGCTTTCCTTGGCAACCTCAGTGCCTTGGATCCCCATAGAAAGTCCTATATCAGCTTCTTTTAGAGCAGGTGCATCATTTGTGCCATCGCCGGTGACTGCAACTACATGGCCTTTCTTTTTCAAACATTGCACCATCAAATGTTTGTCCAAAGGGGATGATCTTGCCATCACAAGGATCTTGTCAACTTTCTCCATTCTCTCTTCCTCTGTGTAGTTTCTGAATTCCACACCTTCTACCACTTCTCCCGCATTTACATGGTTATTAAGATCTAATATTCCACATTCTGTTGCTATTGCCTTTGCTGTGAATATGTTATCACCAGTGATCATCTTGATTTCAACCCCTGCAAGTTTGCAATTTTCGACCGCCTTCTTAACATCTGGCCGGCATGGATCCTTGAGGCCAACAATTCCTAGCAAGGTCAAGCCATCTTCTCTTAGGATTTCATGTGCTTTCTCAAAATCTTCTGAAATCTCCATGTGTGCAAAAGCAATACATCGTAGGCTGCTAGCTGCCATGCCTTGAATTATCTTCTCAAGTTTACTCCGTTCTTCATCAAGGGACTTCATTGTGCCATTACTATCAATATAATTAGAACACATTGCAAGTATCATCTCTGCAGCTCCTTTCCAATGCACGTGAACTGTGTTGTTAGTCTCCTTCCTTATTGCAACGCCACTTCGTTTCTTCTGTGAGTTAAATGTTTCAACATGGAGAACTTTGTGTTTCTTCTTCAATTCATCCATGTCCATACCTAAATCTGACACTGCCCATAAGAGTATAGCTTTCTCCGTTGGGCTACCTGAAATTTCAGGTTCAGATTCTGATGAAGGGCTATAGACAGTGCCAGTTGTATTGAGGCCTACTCCTTGGTGGAATAACTCGAGAACATTTGGGGCCATTGCATTAGAAAAGTTTTCAATAACATTTTCTAGGCCTAGCCAAAACTTGCTCACTCTCATCTGATTCAGCGTTAAGGTCCCAGTTTTATCTGTGCAGATAACTGTTGCTGACCCCATAGTTTCACAAGCAGAAAGTTTCCTCACCATTGCTTGGTCTGCTATCATTCTTTTCATGGAATAAGCTAATGTGAGAGTGACAGCCAATGGTAGACCCTCAGGGATGGCCACAACCACAATAGTGACTGCAGCTGCAACAATACTCACAACAGCATTGAACGTGTCATTTATATCTGTTCTACCCCGCCTGAACTCCTTAATCCCATTCTGATCTTGTGTGTTTCCAGTGAAATACCGAATCAACAACACTAGGAGAACAAGAAAAGCGACTGAAAGGCCTACCTTTCCAATAGAAGAAGTTAACTTGTCAAGGCGAGCTTGTAATGGTGTTCTTTCATTGGTGTCTCGGGATATTGAGCTCATCATTTGACCCCATGCTGTGTTGATTCCCACAGATGTCACAAGCATTTGAGCATAGCCATCCACAACCTTTGCTCCAGACAATAAGAAGGGGCATTTTAAAGGCTCAATTTCTACATGGTCACTCTCACCTGTCATGCTTGATTCATCCACTTGCAAAGAATGGCCAGCTAAGAACACTCCATCAGCAGGAATTTGGTCACCAATCTTAAGGGATACAATATCTCCCACAAGAACATCAAAGATGGATATCTGTTGTGGCCTTCCATTTCTCACAACTTCAACTTTGATGTTGTTACTTATCTTGGATAATTTGTCAAATTGTCTCTCTTGTCTGAAGTTGCTGAGTGCACTGACAACAATCACAAGAAACACTGCTACAAATATGCTCCCACCTTCATACCAGCCTTCCCCTGGTCCATGTTCTTTTATGCCAAAACCAAGGGAAAGGCCAGCACAGACAAGAAGAATGATAATTGTGGTGTCATTGAAAGCTTCCAGCACAAAGTGTAGGAAGACTTTTGGTGGTGGCCTTTGGTAAGTGTTTGAACCAAACAATTCGCGCCGTTTGGCAATGTCATCATCATTGCCAAGGATTCCCTTTTCTGGAATGGAACCAAGAACATTTGCAACACCTTCAACTCCTTCGAATTCAGCAAGGGCTGTCAAGTTTTTGTCCTTGACCATATTAGCAAGTCTGGCTTTATCAACATCAGGGAGCAAAGAATAGCGGTTGGTTTCATTGCTCACATGTGGGGTAACTAGGGGCTCAAATATATCAAGAGTGCTGCTGGAGCTGGATGACTGGGTTTGGAAGTGTTTAGTGTAGTGATGGAGATTTCTTTTGGATATGACCTCTTTGGCCAGAGAAAGCATGACCCTTCTAGAATAAATTGCTGTATAAGCAAAACGCCACCTTTTTTTGGCATTGTTGATAGTGTAATTGGCAGTGACTCTGGTGAGAGCGCTACTGATGTCAATGAGAAATGAACTGCTATCATATTTCTGATTTTGGCTGCTCGACATGTTGGATTGAGAGTAGAATCAGAAAATGAGAAGTGGGATTATTAGTTAATCGAAAAGTTGAGAAGGAAAGAACTTCATTCTGAGTATACAAGGGATGTGACCTATATATATACTGATATGTAGTCAGGTGGAGTGTGATAGGGTCCATAGGGATAGTTTCCGGGTAGCTTCCTAGAAAACTAAGCATATACTGTCATTACTTTTGTCCAATTTGGACAAATTTTAAAAAGACTTGCTTAATGTTCACATTCTTGCCACGCAAGTTAATTGGTTGCTATGAAGAAAGTTACTACTCTGTACCAACTCACATTTAAATGGCAGTTTAGTATAATGGGATTCATAAATTTCAAGGTAAAAACTGCATAATCTGGTAAATGGAAAAGCTTTTTTTTAATATTCATTCTCATGAAGACGGCATATATACGAGTAGTCCATAAGCATAATCACTATTGCTATTCAATACATAGTCCAATATAGGTGGGAGCACTACTCTTATTAGTTGACTTAGAATCTATGTTTAGCATACTCTTCTTATGAGGTGCAATATGCTTCGCGTGGAAGGTTATGTGTCCTAGTTTTTCCTACCAACCAACCAACTAACTAAAAGATAACTGCACCGTGTGGAATCAAGCTACAGTGTAATAACTCCAATGTTGAGTTGGTCCTGTTGATTTATGAAACAATTATCCTCTTTGCAAAACCTAGAACTGATCGGTGACTGCATGTTTGATCTTAACGTTCATTTTAGTTTGTTTTCACAAATATCAAAACTACCTCAGAAACTCCGAGTGATGGCATGCCGTCCTGGACGGAATTGGAGTTTGAGTAGAACATGCATACATACAAGTACAAAATTACAAAAGGAAATTTTGGTTACTCCAACATTTTTTTTTCACAAATAACAAAAAATAAAATAAAAAACTGAACTGTATTAAATTTTTTAGTAAATACTTATCATTTAATTTTTCGTTTTATACACGATATCCCTTCTATTATAAAACATATAAAATCCATCATAATGAATACTTGTAGTCATATCATTTCTACAATTGTTCAGTCTTACATAAACTAAATAGAAAGATCACTTCATTTGATCCGGTTGAATTACAATTTTAAGAGTAAATACCCTTTTTAGTCCCTGACAATATCTACGAAGTCCTTTTCAGTCCCTAGCAATAAAAAAGGACCAAATTGGTCCCTGAAAGTACAAGAAAAGGGCCACTCTACATATTTGGGAGTTGAGATAAGGACTAACATGACCCTTTTTTCGTAATTTCAGGGACCAATTTGGTCCTTTTTTATTGCCAGGGACTAAAAAGGACTTCGTAGATATTGACAGGGACTAAAAAAGGTGTTTACTCAAATTTCAAATAGTTGAGGATAAAAGTGATCAATAATTTTTTCTGCATAAAATGAATGTATCAGTCATATTTTCTCAATATATATTGGAGATTAAGTAAGGATATCAGTTTACCGAAAAAAAGAAAAGTAAGGATATCAAAAACACTCAACCACAAAACATATATGAACTAACAACTCAATCAACAAATATTTTGTCATACGATATTTTAAAATGAAAAAGATTTTCAAATTTTTATAAAAATATCTCCTACATACACATAAAAATATGTGAGGTCATATGAAAAGAAAAAAGAGAAAAAAAAAATATGAACTTTGTACATTTTTATATGTCGGAGAGATAATTTTACCTCTTAAAATGTGAGAAACATTAAACTCTTTTTATAGTAAAGAATAAAATCAACTTAAAACACACCAAATACAAGAGATAAGAGAATAACTCACTTATACAGTGTGCTCACCTCAAATTTTCGAAAATATTTTCAGCGTTTCAATTATACCAAGTACTCGGTACACCTTTTATCAAATATAATAAAAAATAATATTTTTACACTACCTTTATCTTTATATTCATTTCCATTCAAATCTATTTTTTTATTTTTGGTTAAAGAGTATGTGCTCAGGATGTACACAAAATGAGCTCCGCATTTTCCAACTTGAAAACAGAGTCACTGACCGGCTTTTTAACCATTTTGTCCCTCATTAATTAATTAATAACTATTTTACCCCTGATTCGAAAGTATCTACCAATCTGCCCCTCTTTAATCGACTAACTTGAATTTTTAATCGACTACATGGTTGTTGGGAGATTTAATCGACTAAATCTCCCTACTTAATCGATTAAAAAATCATACTGACTTGTTTTCCTTTATTGTCTGTTGAGAGATTTAGTCGATTAAATCTCCCAACAGCCATTTTTGCCTGTTTTGACTATTTAATCGACTAAAAATGCAAGGTAGTCGATTAAAGAGGGGCAGATTGGTAGATAGTTTCGAATCAGGGGCAAAATGGTTATTAATTAATTAATAAGGGACAAAAAAGTGAAAAATCCGTCACTGACCCGTACCCTTCGGGCTTTTGCTTATTGCATAATCAACATGACTATGAAGGCTTTTTGACCACTATAGCCTTTTTTTAATAATTAATTATCAAATTGACCTTATTTATAAACTATTTCAAAAATTTAACCTCTCCAGAAAACATAACATCAATCTGCCCCTGTTTGACCGTTGACCATGAAGCCTACCCGGGTACACCCCTACCTACCCGGGTATATTTTAAATTTTTTTACCTACCCGGGTACACCTATCTCTACCCGGGTAAATAATTCAAACATTTTTCAGATTCAAGAAATATACCCGGGTAGGGAGGGGTGTACCCGGGTAAATAATCATAAACTGGTTGTGTGCACCCATCCTCTTTGTGTGAACAGCAAATGGAAATCTCTAAATTGAAGGACCTCAAAGACAAACTTGAAAAATGGTGATGGAAATTAAGGACGACAGTACACGTGACCTCAATGCATGGAGAACAAAATCTGAAAACAAGTTATTGATGAAAGATATTCCACTGGATCATATGCCTGAGATTAGTGAAGCAAATAATCAAGGTTCTGCTCCAACAGAAGATGCTATTACATGTCACCAGTCAGACAATTCAAAAAAATGTTCAGAATTAGAGGTGGAGAAGGAATTGGGCGTTGACAAGCTTGAGTTGTGGAAAACTGTAAAAGAAACAACTGAAGATGGCAAGAGGAAGATGTTGGAGAGGGTTGCCTCAGATGCTTAGAAATTGGCCATTCTTAAAATGACTCTGCAACCAGAAACAAAGAAGAAAAGCAAGAAGAGAAAAGCTTGAGTTATGATTATTTACCCGGGTACACCCCTCTCTACCCCGGTAAATAATTCAAATATTTTCCAGATTCAAGAAATATACTCGGGTAGGGAGAAGTGTACCCGGGTAGGTAAAAAAATTTAAAATTTACCCGGGTAAGTAGGGGTGTACCCGAGTAGGCTTCATGGTCAACGGTCAAATAGAGGCAGATTGGTGTTATGTTTTCTGGAGAGGTTAAATTTTTGAAATAGTTTATAAATAAGGTCAATTTGATAATTAATTATTAAAAAAAAACTATAATAGTCAAAAATTCTGACTATGAACATCGAAAAGCCGAAAAGTTATTCTCCATTTCCATTCACCATAACGCAAACAAGGGACGACATCAAAATTTGCGGCTTGTTTCACACCATTGAAACCGAAAGGCAAAAGCTATTACATCCTGACTGATGCGTGGTCTCCTCGTGCTGCGCGGCAAATGCATGACATTTCACTAAATCTAAGGAAATTAATGACAATGACCTTTAAAAATTAAACAACCATTAAAAAATGGATATGATATTATAACAATCAATTAAGATTACTATCAATGTTACTAGCAATCAATTTCACCATTAGATCGATTATTTTGATACAACGATTATATTTATTTCCATCTTTATATGAGTATAATTCCCCATATTTAATGTATGTGAAAGCTTTAAATATGAAAAATCATAACCATACAAAAGTAGAAATAAATATAAAATATTAAATATAGAAAATCATACTCACACAAAGATGAAAATAAATATAACCGTTAGATCAACATAATCAATCTAACGATACAATTGATTGGTAATAACATTTGGTAGCAGTGGCGGACCCAGGAAAAAAAATTTATGTCCGCACAATCAGTGGCGGGGTTCGGCGGCAGCGCCCCAGAATTTTTTTTTATATATAAAAGTTTAAATCAACGCTTGAACCCGCTCATAATCTAGTTGCTTCCATAACAAGCTGCAGACAATAGTTTGACCAATTATTTTCCCCCTAAATCTTATCAATCCTTCAAAACAAATATGAGAATATACTCCAGTACATCCATACATCATCATTCTATTTTGGGATATGTTATTTTACCTAACATTTTTCTACCTACCTTTGCCTACCACTCTCCAATACCGTTAGATCAAAATCTCAAGAAGAGAGAAAAAGATAAATGTTAGTTAAGATTCTGATCTAACGGTGTTGGAGGGTGGTAGGTAGAGGTAGGCAAAAAAATGGTAAGTAGAATAACCTATCCCTTCTATTTTATAGTGGTGAATAAAAAAGTTAACACTACCTGTGCAGAAGTAAAACAAAATCACAGTGAAGGTCTCGTCTCTAGATATTAACTTATTTGAGAATGTCAGACCTACAATCAATCATCTCTTTTTATAAAAATAAAAAAGGAAACAAAGGATGAAGAGAACGTGGAAATGAGTACGTGACAAGGGAGGAAGAATAAGTTTTCTTTCTAATCAATGTGCGTTGTTGCGTTGTTTTAATCATCTTCGTACGTTGTTACGTTGCTAACTAATATAAGAATAAATATCTTTTTTGGTCCCTAAAAAAAATTTGGTCCTCACTTTAGTCCATTATAAAAAAAAAATTAGTCACCTGATCCCTATGGACCCATTTTGGTCTTTCTGTGGGACTAGTGTAGGTCTTTTTTGAATTTGTGATGGACCACGATTTTAATTAAATTGATCTACTTTAAATTTTTTAAGGACCTCGAGACTAATTTTTTTTGTAAAGGACTAAATTGAGAATCATGTTTTTTGTTAGGGACTTAAAAAATTATTTACTCCTAATATATATATTGAAT